ACCTCTGACCTTGAGGTTGAGTGTTTATCCAGCTGTGCCACACCAGGACTCCATCTTAGATACTTGTTTACAAATTATAAACCAAGATTCCCGGTGTTACTATGTTTCCTGCTTATTATGTCTACAGCCACATTTTTGTTTGGTTTGTAATTGTTTTAAAGTTCATTTCAGTTAGGATTGGCCTGTGTGTATATACTGCACCTTGTTGTTATTAAGCGCCATTGAGTTGGTTCTGACTCATAGCGACCCTATAAAGAGTTTCTGAGGAGTGGCTAGTGAGTTTGGGCCACTGACCTTGTGTATCAAACCAACTTTGCAGTCTAGTCCATTAACCCACAGCGCCTCAGTTGTTGAATTATTACTCAAGATTGGTTTTGTTTTCTTTTGGATTCAACCAGGCCAGAACCAACTTATATATTGTTTCTGCCTTGGAGAATTCTACACTCTGGAAGTAGTTAAGTTTGAAAGCTATCATAGTATAAATTCTAAGCTTGGGGCTTCTATTTCTAACAGGAAACGATTTCCCTGCCCAGAGCCTCAGAAGGTCAGCTTTCTTTTCCCTTCTCTGGCTTGTTGGGCTGGAGATGAGAGGCCCACAGGGTCCACTTCCACGGTCCTAGCTTGATCGATGTGACTGTCAGACAGGTCCAAAGCCTTGTGCCCAGTGCCCCATATGAACAGGCTAACCTTCACTTCTGGTCCAGCCCTCTCTCCCCTGTCTTCTGCCCAATGCAGGCTTACTGATTCAGCTTTCAAACACATCAATATCTCTAAATCTGTTCATTTGCTCACTACTTCTGTGTTTATACCACAAGAGGGGTCCGTGAGCTGAACCTGCCAGTTCTCTGAAATCTCTGTATAGAGTCTGTAAGGTGGGTACTCTGAAGACACTGAAGGTCACCTTTAGTGTGTCAGAGCCACGCTCCAAACCCAGGGCTGCTTGACTCCAAACCCTACTCGTCCCTTAGCCACTGCCATCGAGTCGACTGCAGCTCAGTGACCCTGTATAGGGTGGGTTTCCGAGACTAGAAACCCTAGTGGAGCAGCCTGCCTCATCCTTTCTCTGGTGGAGTGGCTGGTAGGTTTGAACCGCCGATCTATGGTTAGCAGCCCAGCACCTAGCCCACAGTGCCACCAGTGCTCCTATATTTTCCTTTACACCTCAAAATTAGAACGGCTTGGGTGAAAGGTTATCAAAAAGACTTCAAAAAAATTCTTTTAACTGCCAACAGCAATGACTAAGACTTCTGGTTTAATGAAGTCCTGATGTGGCACTGTGGGTTAATGCACCAGATTGCAAATCCCTTTGAACTGTAAGGTCGGTGGTTCAAGCCCACTAGCAGCAACTTGGAAACTGTATACTGGGTTGGAACCGATTGATGGCACTGAACAACACAAGCATTTGGTTATTAAAAATGAAAACTATCACATAAAGCCTGTTTTTAATTACCAGCGACACCAAACTCTCATCCACTCTTATTTTACACGTGACATCCTACACTTTCGTGTGTTGACTCCAGGTGGCAGTCTAGCTACTACAGAGCAGGCAGCGTGTGATAAACATGAAACCATCACAGGTTAGGGCCTATTCGGGGAATAGCTACTGAGCACTGAAGCAAATAAAGGGAAAAGTAAATTTACTAAAATATTTCTTTATTTGAATAAAGGTCAGCTAGCTTCAAGTAACAAATCAGAAGAGAAAAACGTGACAAAATGTTCTCAAATTGAAGTCGAACTGGATAGAAAAACCTTGTAAGCTTTCAGTAATGTCCATGAAAGAAATATATTAAACAGGCAACAAACAGATCTAAGAAGTTGCAAGTGTTGATTTTCCATTAAGTCTTATAAATAAAGCCCCCAGAGAGTCATGAGTTCACCATCTCCCTGTGATAAGCACATGACGGGAAAGAGAATCACATCTTACTAATCACAACAGTGACTTATGCTGTTCGAGCTCTGCAACACAGAGGTTCAGACAATCCTTATTCAAGTAATTTCTGTTTTCCCCCAAGTTATCAAAAAGGACAAGTGTCTGAGATAAAATGTCACAATAATCAGACCTAGGAAAATAAGGGGCTTTTTTGCAGGCAGGCTCTTGATGAGAGGTACCATGGTGAACCATGGCAGGAAAATGATTTTTGAAGCTTAAAAGCATCACCAAACAGCAATCTGAGTGTAGCTGTCAACTGCTTACGAACCAAGAGTTTTAGTAACAAGAGCAGTAAGTGTGCGAATGAAAGGGTCAGCGCGCAACATCATGGACAGTGAGTGGAGAGTCTACATTCTCAGCTCAGCTTTAAACAAAATTTAAAAAACCACAAAGCAGCTCTTCTTTTTCAATGCCCGTTGTTGTTGTTAGTGTGCGTTGAGTTGCTGTTAACTCATGGTGGTCCCTGTGCGCAGAGATCTGCTCCATGGGGCTGTCAAGCCTAAGACGCCCAAGGAAGCAGGTTGTGGGGGTGGTCTTCACAAGTGCCTCTGTGTGAATTCAAGCCACCAAGCTTATAACTAACAGTTGAGGGCTTAACTGTCTGTGCCACGCAGGTCCTCCTCTCCCCACCGTGGTGGTTCTCATGCTGTACCCCATTCACAATCAGCCGAGGTGCCTGCTGAACGCTGATGTTCTGAAGGCCCGCCCCCGAGTCTTGAGTCTGGTTCAGAATCAGGCCCTTGAAGTGGGATTCTGAACAAGCAGGCGATGAGCCAGATGGTCTGTGGACTGAACTTTGGGAAACACTCTTCTCTTCATGCACAAGACACTGTGTGTAAAGTTTCAAGCTGAATAAAACACTCACACTAGAAGACAAACAGGTACACTGGGACAGGTACCCGCCAGGTGTAAGTGCAAAAGCTCAGAGATGTGCACTAACATTTAAAATCAGTCTCGCTCTCATTCAAGGCACCTGTAAAGTACTTGCTGGTGTGAGAAAGTAAAGAAATTCAATTATACAAAATGGTTACAGAAATGGAAGACAAGCTGGGATTGATTTCCCCACAGAGCAAATTTGTCTTCAGAAATGAGCTAAGGTCATTCATTTTGAGGAGAATAAATCAAGCTTCAAAGATGATCAACACGGGGTGTGGCCTGCTTTACTGAGGGATTAAGTTCGTTTACTGAGCAGAAACCGCTCACGGTCTGTTATCATCGCATGTCCACTTGCATCAGGGATGCACAGGTCTACTGCGCAGACCTTCAGGCAAACCCTGGAATACTGGGTTTAGAAGCCTTTTATCGCAACAAGAGGATTCCCCAAGTTCCATAGTCTACAACTTTTTTCTTCTGATTGCATTACATTTTTTCATGGGATAAGAGTAAATTCTGTGACGACGATGATGTCTCTGAAACATGAATTTCAAAATGTTACCACCACATGGGAGAAACATGAGGGAAGCACATGCTATGTGGAAGAGAGCGAGCCATCAGAACATCCCCCCTTCGGTGTTCTAGAATAAATGCTATCATAAAAAACAACACAGTGCAGTCCAGGGTGGTGTTGCATTCTGCTGTACAAGGGGACGCGACAGGTCAGACCCCCTCGACAGTGCCTAGCAACAACAACAACAACAGCACAATGCAGAATTCCTTCAGAACGTGTCTGTGTAGACTTTGGGCAGGTGGCTCAATCGGTAAATGACATTCAAGAACAAACTTAGGAAGGCTTGGGAGAAGTAAACAGTACTATTTTATAAAACAGTATTTTATCTCGGCTTCTGACAAGTGAAAAATGATGATTTTAGTTATAGTATTTTATAACATGAAGTAAGAGACAGCCAAATTTGACAGTATAAAAATATAAATTATCTATCCTATAAAACATTGTTGGGGAAGGAGAGGAGAGATCATCTGAAGCCAGCAAAAGTAACGTCTACATGAAATCTGCATTTTAACAGATCATTCATAGACTGTTTCTGCAATACCTAGAGCCATGTCAAAAGCTATGAAAAGGCCTCAGTCTGCTATCTTATGGTGACGCTTGCTAGGCAAGAGCTTCACAGGACCCTTAGTTCATCCTCTGGCATCAAAAGAGGGAAAAGCAGAAGCATCAAATCTGGTTCTCAAGAGAGATGCCTTTAACAAGCTTGAAATTGCTCCAGTCGAGCCTTGTTGACTTAGTGTGCGCTCAGTCACCAACACCAGGGTGCGTGCAGTCTTTACTGTGAAGGAGAACTGTGGACTGACATATCCTCAGATCATGCAATGCATGCAGAATTTACATATAGCACACCAAAGGGAAGAAATCAGTTCCTTAAAGTACTAATGTAAATGAAAAAATATTCTGATAATACTGACCTGACACTGTTAGAAGACATTAAGAATACGGTCCATCGTGAAATGACATATTATCATACAAAATGCCCATAAATTGCACTATCAGAAATATGTTTCCACCAAAGTGGTTTCTCAGACAACAAACAGCTATTAATTTCCCCAAAAATTTCCTTTAAAAGTGAAATCAATAGTCAGGGGGAAAAAAAAATACTTCAAGAAACATTCTGAAGCTTACTGCCCAGATTCTCAAGCTCTCAGACCAAACATTCTTTGATTTCAAAGGGAGTTGCCCTGGGTCTTAGACTAGGACTTTCTGATCTTACACCAAACATGAGGGGTGCTCTTTACTGGGCCTCATACTCCGTGAGGGTCGTATGAGGGTCAGTAAGGCAAGGTTTGTTTGTGGGAAATGAAGAGGTGACTTAGGGGCAACTTTGTGTCCAGGGTGATCCCCTCACTAATTCATGCTCTGCTCAGTGACTGGACTCTCCTGGCCAGAAATCCCCTGACATTTACAGATTTATGTACCACGCACAATTTTACATGTAGTCGGACTTGTTTTAAGGTTTATTTTCACTGAAAATCAATGTGTCAACAGGTATTTTGTACAAAATTTAATAATTTAGATGATGAAACTGTTTAAATACTTCAATTCCCTCAAAACAGCAGCCTTTTACACATAACATACATACATACATACATACATGATGAGCCCAAATCAAAATGGCGGTCAAAAGAACTTCTTCGCGGCTGCTTCTTGCTGAGTCCTAGTTTGGAGAGGGTGGGGGAGAAAGACAAATTGAAACAAGTTCTAGACATGTTACTCTGGAAAGACCAGGACTGTGCAAAATTAAAATGTACAGTGAGTGCCTTTCTGAATTATAAATAAAGTCCATTAAAATACGCATGAGTTCTACACACACATGCCCATGTGAATTGAAAATAGACTAGAAATCTGACTTCCTTCACACAAAGGTGAATTCATAAATACTGATCATGCACAGATCAATTTGCTGACTACTTCATATGAAACAGACTCAGAAAAAATGCTTGGTCAGACTTTACCAAGAGGCTTACCTGTACATGATGTAACCAATGAATAGTACCGTCTGTACCACTATGAATACGATGAAGTGAAGTGTTGACAAACATGAGGGAAATGCAGGCAGTTCTGGGCACTTTGGCTTTTCATTTGATGGCTAAAAGGGCAAAGGACTCTCTATTAGAATTAGTCAAGTCTGTATTTTGATAAAAGAAGTAACTGAAATCTTTATAAAACTCATGTTTTTATATTCATATTAATTTCATAAATACCTTCTGTTCCCTTTTTTTGAACTTTGTATTGTGAATTGTGTGGAGGCTTACAGAGCAGACCATCATGTCTCCATCCATCCAACAATTCACACATGTTCTGCTTCGCCTCACTGGTTACAATCCCTCTAGGTGACCTCCCTCTCCACTTGTTCCCTCTGTTTCCTGCTTCCATTCCTCTCCTTACCCTCCCAAACTCTGTCCTTGGCCAAATGCTGCCCTTTTCATCTCATCCGGCTGACTCATCCCCTTAGCTTCTAGAACCACCGTGGTTGCTGTTAGTGGCTGCTGGGCTGATTCTGAGTCTCAGGGACCCCAGTGGGCAGGGCACAACTGGACTCCAGAGGGTTGGAAGCTGCGACTTTTGGAAGGAGATCATCAGGCCTTTCTTCCAAGTCACCTCTGAGTGGATCTGAACCAATAGCCTTTCACCATTTGTGTCACCTAGACTCCGGTATGTAACAGTACTGATTTACAGCCGTCACAATGTCATTAAGTGCTGATGAATCGATTCCTACTCAGAACCACCTTGTGTAATGTTTGCCAGTTTGTAAATCTTTGTGGGAGCAGAAAGCCTCAGCTGTCTCCCAAAGAGCGGCTGTTGGGCTGAAACCACTAACCTTGTACTCACCTTACAGTCACCTTGTTCCCTTAATAACACACACGTATGTTGTTATTAAGTGCTGTTGGGTCAGGTCCAACTCACAGCCCCCCTGGATAGGTTTCTGATGAGTAACTGGTGAGTCTGACCCACCGACCTTTCGGTTCAAACTGATCTTGTTGGTCCAGCACCTATCCTACAGCACCACACCAGGACTCCATACTGGGTTTCCAAGGAGATGCTGGTGAGTTTGAAGTGCAGCCCATGTGGTTAGCAGTCCAATGCTGATCTTAGTGCCACACCAGGAGTCCATGTATCCATATGTGTATGGCTATAACGTTTTTATGTGCAGTCCAGTGCTGATCTTAGTGCCACACGAGGAGTCCATGTATCCATATGTGTATGGCTATAACGTTTTTATGTATGTATATACACACACAGGAGTCCATGTATATGTATTGCTATAATGTTTTTTTAAGGAGCTCTGGCAGTGTAGTGGTTACGAATTGGGCTGCGAACCACAAGGTCAGCAGTTTGAAACTACCAGCTGTTCCACGGGAGAAAGATGAGGCTTTCTGCTCCCCTAAAGATTTATAGCCTTGGAAACCCTATACAGGGTCGCTATGAGTTGGAACCAACTCCACGGCACATAACAACAACAACAATAACGTTTTTATGTATGTATACACACACAGGAGTCCATGTCTATGTATGTGTACAGCTATAACGTTTTTATGTTATGTATACACACACAGGAGTCCATGTATATTTATGTGTATAGCTATAACGTTTTTATGTATGTATACACACACAGGAGTCCATGTCTATGTATGTGTACAGCTATAACGTTTTTATATATGTATACACACACAGGAGTCCAGCTATACACATATGTGTATAGCTATAACATTTTTATGTTATGTATACACACACATACATCCAGTAAAGGAGACTCGTGCCTGAGAAGACCTGTGCTTGCTCACAGCCCATGCTGAGAGAAACAGAAGTTACCCAGCTCTTGACTGTGTGACTTTGACCTTCTCCAGCTGTTTAAAGGCATCATGACTGAAAGACTCACAGAAGAGAATCCAGAAATTACAAAACGTGGGGCTGTGACATTCCACCACCTGGAGGAACGTGAGTTTTTAGAAACCCCACTCCATCAGGACACGGAAGCCTGAAGCACTCTGATTCACCATGGGGCAGTGTGTGGTAGCGCAGCCCAGCGGTTGGTTACACTGTTCTCAATGGGACCCAGCCTTCTTCCCTTTCTACATGAGCTCAGGGAGAATTCGAGAGAAGGACAAGTTACCATATTTCGCTGCACTAGGCTATCTAGGTCCCTCTTTACTATGTGGAGGTGCTCTTTAATGTCGTTGAAGTGCTGCGTCGTCTCGTACACTCCTCCTGCAGACCCCGGATGCTGGATCCCACTGACCAGTCTGACGGTTTCACTCATGGAGTTCCTGAAACAGAAAACCTCTTTATACCATGTACTCCCCATGAAGTTGGTTTTCTCAGTCACAGCTTTCAAATGGTTAGATGCATTTCTAAGCTCAGTATGTTGTTGTTAAGTGTTGTCGAATCGGTTCTGACTCATAGAGACCCTGCATAGGGTTTCCAAGGAGTGGCTGGTGAGTTTGAACTGCTGACCTTGTGGATCAGCGCATTAACCTGCAGCACCACATCAGTACTCTTTTTGAGAGGCTGTTGTTGCTAACTGCCCTTGAGTCGGTTCTGACTCAGAGACTCTGTATAGGGTTTCTGAGAAGCAGGTGGTGAGCTTGAACCATTGACTTTGTAGTTCTAACTGACCTTGAAAGTCCAGTGCAGTAACCCGCACACCAGGACTCCTTTGGGCATATTGTTTTTGTTGTTAAGTACCACTGAGTCAGTTCCGATTCATAGTGAACCTGTATAGGGTTTCCAAGGAGGTGCTGGTGAGTTAGAACACCCATCTCTTGCAGTCCAGTGCTTTATCTCACAGCACCACACCAGGACTCAATATACTAGACCTTAAAAAAAAATCAACATTTAAAAAACTGAAATATCTTTTATAAATAGGAAAGTAATTTATAAAACTACAGCTTAACATTTGCCTTTTATCTCTAAGGGTCATTTAAAATAATCACAAAAAGACTTCCAGGAAATAATCTGTGTTAAAAAAACTAGTACTATAAAAGGATCACCCAATGGCCCACTGTCATCGAGTAGACTCCAACTCATAGCGACCAAGTAGGACAAAGTAGGCCTAAGGCCGAAGCCGAGGGCCAGGCCCTTTCTCCCACAAAGCTGCTGGTGAGTTTGAACTGCTGACCTTTCAGTTAGAAACCGAGGGCTTCACTACTGCACAAGGATTCCATATAAACGGCTACTGAATAAAACCACGAAAGATAGTCTTAGTGAACTTAGGAGAAAACCTTCTAGACTGTCCACACTGTGCTACACATTTAACTCAGAGGCCTGCATTGTCCAAACCTTGCACATCCCACAGGTCTTCAGTGTGGCCCCTGCCAGGCTCCAGGAGCTCACCTCCGAGGCCTAGGAACAGCCTGTTGCTGAGTGTCTGCCCATACTAGGGGTCTGGGTGTGTCCTCTGGGACCCCGGGCGGTTAAGCAGGTAAGACCAGCCACGCAGGTGCGCTGTCTGCAGGGCAGACCCTAATAAAAACCCTGAGCCCAAGGCCCTGGGAGCTTCGTGGTCAGCAGCACTCCACATGTGCCTGAGAGAAGGTGCTGGGAGATGGGCACTTGGAAGCTCACGCCTGCCTCCTCCTGGGCCGCCCTCTTCCCGTGGTTCATTTTCATCTGCATCCTTTCCTTGTAGTAAGTCAAAGCCATGAGGAGCACTGCTTCTGGGTCTCCCTTGAGGACCCCTGACAAACATGTAAATCTACTCTTCCTTGCAGTTTGAGGAGATGGTCCCTATAGACAAACCAAATGCTTCAACTGGAACCCAACCAAATATAAAGAAAGGCACACCTTGTTGTCTGGCATGGTGACAGTTTGCCGTTCAGTACCTCCTGGAGTGTGTGTGACTTTCAATAACATTTTACCTTCTTCATTGACTAGGATAAAACCTCCATGCCTGGTCTGATTACATCGGCGAGGCATAAACGAGAGAGCTCGAGCACTGAGTGTGGCTTTTGGATCTGAATCTGTAAGAGGCTACAAACACTGCAATCGGGGTTACAACCACATCAGAACTGTTCAGTGAGAGCACGGTGCCCACCTGAAACAATGGTTAAGCACTCAGCTGCTAACGGAAGGGGTGCTGATTCGAACCGACCCCGGGGCTCTGTGGGAGACTGAGACCTACTTCTGTGGTGATCAGAGCCTAGGGGACCCTACAGGGCAGCTCTAGTCACCCTCGAATCATGCTACCCAGAAAGCTTATTACACCTGAGAAAGTCGGTTTTATCTGGAAATACTTAGAAAGCTCTGTAAATGGCAAATGGTTTTTGTTATTTATAGCTAAAAATATCTAAGTCTGGAGACTATTTTTGGTCAGGCAGATAAAAATTAAGACTAGTTTGGCAAAGTACTGATAATGATCGATGGGTCCACAGAGCTTCACTATGCTGTTCTATTTCTGTGTATGTTTGAAAATGGCTACAATATAAAAAGCTAAAGAAAGGTTTAAAGGTCTCCAGACTATGTTTGTGGACTCCTGGTGTGGTGCAGTAGGGTCAGTACTTGACTGTTAACCAGAAGGTCAGCGATTCAAACCCACCAGCCACTTCTCGGAAACCCTCTATAGGGTTGCTATGGGTTGGACCAGACTCCCCGGCACTCACCCCATCTGTTTGCAGCCTGCCTTTCTAAGCTAGCTCCTGCCAACACTTTCATCTGTCTTGCTTTTGTCATTTCCTTCTGAGACTTCTCCTGGTGTCTTTGTGACTCTTTCTAGTTATGATCCCTCCCCAGCACCTAGCTCTAAACCGGACCATGTCTCCCCTACGCTTTCTTTCTCCCTAACCTGTCCTGTCAAATGTTGCCATTCCCTACACACCGCACCGCACACACATCTCCCTACACACCACACCACACCGTACATACATCTCCCTGCACATACATCTCCCTACACACACCACACCGTATAAACAACATCTCCCTACACACCACACCGCACACAGACAACATCTCCCCACACCACACCACACACAACCACTCCCTGCACATACACACTGGGTTGTGTCCTTTACATATCAGAAACTCCCAGAAAACAAAGATCCTATTTCCTATTCTTTAACGCCGTCTTTGACAGTTATAGTTCAATCTGGATGACTAGGTAAGCTATCAATTTATTTTCTTAGAAGGAAAATTTAGTTTAAAACCTAAAAGCTTTATTGGAAGGGGGGAAAGGTAGAACTCAAATGTTAGGATTACTTAGAAATGTACAGTATGTCAGCTAAATGTTAACAATAATAAAAATGATAAATTTATGAGTTATCTGAGCACTGAACACTTTAAAGCTGGCAACAAAATATCACATAGGCTTTCTCAATAAATTAGTCACTTAGTGATTAGTATTTAACAACACTCAAGCTCAAGAAAATTCATGCAATTGAAATCAAACTTAAGGATATTTTAATATACCTAAGATACTAATTCAGCATAAAACATTCCAGAAGGCAACCCTCCCACAAATCGCATTTAAGACTATTGCTCCCAGAAGCAGGAATATGCCTGTGCATCGGCTTCACAGACAGACTACGGCACTTAATGAGCTCCTAGTCAAGCATTCATTCGCTTGTTGAATGCAGCAAATGCTCGTTATGGGGTGGCAGGCATTTTCAGGGGAAATCTGACTCCTGGCCAGCAGGAGGAGGCTCTGTGGGGATAGAACGTGCTGGCAAGAAGGCATTCTGGGATAGGAGCAGGCCCAGTGACTGAGAGAGCTCGGAAATCTGTGTGTGCCGCAGGAGGTGAGCCTTTACAAGATTATTTGTCATGTCAAGAATGCTATGCATTCTGCTTAATCTAACCCTCTCCTACACTGGCATGGTGCTGCGGGGTAAAGCACTGGACCACAGGGTTGGTTTGAACCACAAAGTTAGTAGTTTGAACTCACCAACTGCTCCTCAGAAACCCTATACAGGGTCACAATGCGTCAGAACCGACTTGACGACACTTACAAGAACAACCCCTAAACTGAAGTCTCTATATTATAGTCCGTAAGTGCCTTGGTGAAGACACTTTAGGGTAATTTTACTATTTCCATGATTCCTTCTACATTTATCAGTTAGAATTTTACTCTAATGACTGCCTAATCCTTCTCTCCCATTTATTTTTTTCATCAATGATTTATCTCAGTATGGACTCACGGCTCTTTAGTCTATGGGTATAATCTAATAGTGTCATTCTTCATTTTGTTGCTTAAATGATTGGCCTCTGTGATCTTTCCACAAGTCTCCATGTTTGTTTTTGAGGATTTCATTAGATCCCGGTATCACACTACCTTCCAGGTTCATCTTCAATTTTTTTCTGCCCCAGCTCTGGAATCAGCTACTTCTCCAAGGAGCCTGCTTCCGTTCCGTGGAGAAAGGTATTTAGAACCCAAGATCTGTACTCTCGGTGTACGCGTTACTACTGGGTGTCACTGGTTCTAGGCCCTCAGTAGAGAGCCAGGATGTCTGTGCACACACAGCATGCAGGTGAGCCTCTGCAGGATTGCTTGTCTGGTGCGATCCCATTCTGTTCACCCTAACCTCTTCATCTCACCTTGACATGAATGTTTGGCTAGGATTACAATGGTGGGAGCAGTGCTCTACGCTATTAGGTTATGAAACTGGCCATTTTGACTTTCCTTGGCTCCTGGCACTGAAAGCCTTGAGGTATCTGACTCAGTGAATCATTCTTCTTCCGAGGTTTAGCACTCAGTCTTGTTCTGTCTTTGTTAGGGCACAGAGAGGGATGAACAAGAGGCAGTCATGTATAATATACTTACCTCAAATGGTTTTCAAAAGAACCATTCTATTTATTTCAAAGAGAAAATCATCATTCTTTCTTTAAAAAGAATTTCCAGCAATAACTATGTTTGTGGTACAGTCTTACAGTGTTATGCACGCTTTCTCTCCGGGTATTATTCATAAAGCTGTAATATCTTTCTCTAAATATTTTTATATTTTATCTCTGGCTCTGTCTAGAGCTGGGACAAACCTGTATTTTCTATAAAAGCTGAAGTTATTTTTTGTTTGTTTCTTTTTTTCCCTTTCCATGTAAAACCAATTCAAAAATTCAAATGGGGAAAGTGATGAGAAGTTCTTAGCCCTAACCAAACACCTTGAGGGAAGGAGTCACTGGACCTGGGGGCTCAGGACCATAGTCTTGGGGGATTCCAAGATCCACTGGCATAACATAGTCCACAAGACCAAGTTCTACAATCTGCTTTAGTGAGGAATGGCCAGTAAAAGCTTGTGAGTGGCCACCTAAAGGGCAACTACTAGTCTCTGTCCACCTGGAATGAAGATAGTAAAGAAGATAGAAAACACCTGGAAACAATCAGGCCTGCGGACTAACGGCAACGTGAACCTCCACCCCCCAGCCACCATGATGCTGGACCACAAGAACTAGATGGTGCCCGAAAACTACGACTGACGACGCTGAAGGGCACCTTGTTAGTAAGTCTGTACAGAGTGGGAGAAACATGAGGAGCAAAAGTCAGAATTACAAAAGACCAGGCTTAAGGGGGAATTTGGTTTAAGTGTGTGGGGGAAGAAAGAGTCCCCACTGAATAGTTTTCATCTTGTCTAGATGGATCTTGCTAAAAGAGATGGGGATAAGATTCTTATAATTCAATAGTAATTGTTATCATGACTAACTGCGACTATCACAACTGTAAAGGTAGAAGTTTTGTAACAAAAACAGGAGAGTACTTAATCTTACAGTCCAGAAACAGAGGACCCTAGGCCCATCAAGGGAGAAGAGAACAAGCAGAATGCAGGACCCTTATCCAGAGAAGCAGTGACACCAGAGATGGAGGCAGAGATGAGGACATGGAGAGAGGGAGCAGCTGAGGACTCTAGATTCATGGGAAGCGAGGGACTAAGAGCGGGCGGCCAGGAGGCAGACTTGCAGAATGTGCCCTTTGGTGGTTAAATTATTATATATGCCTGAGCGTTAAAAAAAAGAGCTAAAGTGAATAGAGAGAAATACTGGTAACTGATGGTACGTGGAGGGGATTATACTCATGGTAATGAAACAAGGTGTATGATTTGTCGAATATAAAACTGATGATCTGCCCCGTAAACTTTCACTCAATCTACTATAAAAAGCTTAAAAAAAAAAAAAAGACCAGGCTAATGGGCGGGATAGAAATTGGTGGAACCCCTGAAACTTAGGTGCTTAGAGCCCTTCAGGATGGAATGGAACCACAGTTACTGGGCTTCACACTCCTCCCCCTATACCATGATGCTGCTGTGAGTCCTTGGGCAGGGGTCTCTAGGTGCTTGCAAGCCTAGCGAAGTCATGAATTTAGGATCAGGATGTCACAAGACACCAGGACACTCCTGCATACTTACTTCATCTCATTTACTTGTCTCAGAATTTCATGCTGCGTTTTCACCATAGTATCCACTTCTTGTTGAGAGATCTGAAGAAAAAGAGACAAGCAACCTAAACAATGGGCAGCCAGCTCACAAATGCCCAATCTGCAGTCCAGCAGCCTTTCTCCTCTACGTGCCCTCAGCCAGGGAAGGCTCACCTGTCCAGGCTGCCCCGGGACGCCGGCTCCGCGCTGCGAGAGCGCCTCTGTCACGGACGAGACATACCTTCTCTGCTCGTCAAGGATCATGTCTAATTGTCGGTTGAGCTGCTTGATTTCAAGATGAATGCGATTCTGTCCTTCGAAGACTTGCCTCAGCTCACGGTCCCCAACAGTCTCAAAGATATCTTCGGCTGAAAAAGGTAAGTGATGAGAATCTCCCGCACATCTGTGGTCTTCCAAACACCACAAGTGAACAGTGCCCACTCTTACTGTGATGAGAACGTTACTGACCTAGTGGTCTAACCTTGCAGAGTGCCCATGCAGACAGTTACTCTCAACATGATGAGAGTGCAATTTGTTTCTGCCATCTCTGATGGTTAAATACTTACTCATCAAACTATACTCTTAAATTATAGGCATTCTACTCATGCAAAGATTACAAAGTAGAGTTAAGGAGAACAGCTAATTTTTTTAACTAGCCCATGTTAAAAATAACAGATAAATTCATTCAAATACTTACTACAAGTGTCAGAAGAGACCGGATGTACTCACAATTCATATGTGACAGTACTGAAAACACAGTCAAGACAAAAAGGATGTGGACCTTTCATGTGGATTCTTAGCAAGTCTGAGGCTCATCACTCAGAGGTCCTGGCCCCAGAGCCTGCCCCTCCTGCCACACACTCCCCTCAGAGGGATGACAGGCTTTCTGACCAATGGGGCATCTCTCAAATTGTTTGGTTCTGCTCCAGGCCAAAATCCAGCCACAACGACCACCTGTCAGCACCTGTAGGACACCCCTGCTCTCTGGTCTGTCTAGACTTCCTTTGCCATATCCCCCCCTCGCAGCACATACACACTCTTACTTCTTGTGACCAACTGGATCATTCCTCAGGTCTCAGCTAGAAATTGGACTTCCTCCCATATCGCTTCCCCTCTCAGTCTGGGTTAGGTGGAACATTCCCTCTTTGTGCTCCTCCAACACAATGAAATCTCCTATCAAAACACCTGCCTAGCCTGCTGCAAACTGGCCGTTCAACTCTGTGCCTCATCCATTACCTGTAAATTCTAGGGACCACAGCTGTCCGCTCACATACAACAGGCCAGCAGACATTCAAAAGATGTGGTAAAAATGCAACTGTCACCCTGATCAAGGGACCTAATATTTTTGAGCCTCAATTTCCTCTTCTGTAAGGTAGGGAGGGAGTCCCGGTGTGGCGCTGTGGGTTAATGTGCTGGACTGCAAATCAGTTTGATATGCAAGGTTGGAGGTTCAAGCTCACCAGCTGCTCATCAGAAACCCTATACAGGGTTGCGATGGGTCAAAACCGACTCGATGGCACTTAACAATAAAAGGTAGGGATGGAAAGACATAGCTCTGTGGAAACACCAGCACAGGGCCTGATCCATTACAAGGCCCTTCTCGCTTCCTGGGACTCCGGCACTGTAGGATCAGAACTGAACTGTAAACCATAAAGTTGGCACTTCAAAGCCACTAGCTGCTCCTCCAAAACCCTCTAAGGGTCGCTATGAATCAGAACCAACTCAAGGGCACTCAACAACAACAATAACCTACGCCAGCTATGGAAAGTAAGGAGCAGAGAGTCATTTGAGGCTATAGCACAAGTTAGTGATCAAAGAACATCAGTAGATACCCGAGGTGAACAAATGCTATCTACAGGACCCAAAGGCGAAGAGGCAGAGGCACACTACGAGATCAGGGATGAGAGAAAGAACTGCCTTTCCTCTACAGTCCCCGTACTGTTTATGTTGTTGTTGTTGTTGTTGTTAAGTGCCGTTGAGTCGGGTCCGACCCATAGCGACCCTGTACAGGGTTTCCGAGGGTGTAAATCTTTACGGGAGTAGAAAGCCTCATCTTTCTCCCGCAGAGCAGCTGGTAGTTTCGAACCGCTGACGTTAAGGTTCGCAGCCCGATTCGTAACCACTACGCTACCAGAGCTCCTTATAACCCCAACTAATTCCAGCCACACTCACTATAATAAACTTGGGGATGTACTCACAAATCACATCTGATAAGGTTTCAAACCAGTTCCAGAGAAGAAAAAGCATCTTTGGTTTTTACTTTATTAAGTCTGACTTAATAAATAAGGCTCATTAAGAGATTCACATACTACAGACTGGGAAGTGGCTAGCCACAGGCTTTATGAAATGCAGCCCTGATGGAGCTGATGGAGAGCAACCCAGCTAGTAAACCATAGTGGATAATAGAGTCAGAGAAATCTCTTCATATATCACCATTTTGATAACTGTCAAGTTAAGTACTAACATAGTAATTGTGTGCCACAAAGAGGAGAGAAGAAACCTGGGCTGGTTTGTTCAGCAGACAGTTCCTGAGTCTCCCCTACTAGGCCGACACCACTGTCTGGGGCTGCGGGAGGCAGCAGTGAGAACAAGAAACAAAACCTCTTCCCTCAAGGGCCTTACATGTTGTGGTTCACCATTCCACCCACACTGCCATGGGACTTATTTCACATGTCAGTGCCACACTCTTACTGGTAAAAATTCCACCCTCCAGGCCCTATAAAGACTAGAGATTTGTCAATAGCTGGTGTCCAAAGACTACATGCAATCTCCCAGCTCAGAGGGCCCAGGCTCATGGCAGGCTGCCCCCTACACTCACCAGGCTGCCCCTGGATGTCAGGGTGGTCCTTCTGGAACTCCTCCTTTTTCTTATCCAGCTCTTGCTGAAAGTGTTCAAATTCCTCCTGATATTTTTCTTTCTCTTTTTCTGAGATTTCTTTATCTGGTGTAGGCTTTGTTGAAGTTTGGGAATAAATCATTAAGTAGCATAAGCACACGAGTAAGATACTTCAGTACGTATTCGTTTCCTCACTTTAACTGAAGGCACATGAGTAAGATACTTCAGCATATATTCGTTTCCTCACTTTAACTGAAGGCACATGAGTAAGGTGATGTGGACCTTTCATGTGGATTCTTAGCAAGTCCACAAAGTTAGTAGTTTGAACTCACCAACTGCTCCTCAGAAACCCTATACAGGGTCACAATGCGTCAGAACCGACTTGACGACACTTACAAGAA